CACACACAAATATTATTAAATTTATATTTTAATTTGTATAAAAGCGTTTTTCCGACCGAATTCAGTCGGAAATATTAAATTATAAATTTCGGTTGGTTAATTAAATATATATAATTTTTGTCTTGGGCGGGAAACAAAAAGTTCAAACTTTTCGACCGAAATCGGTCGAAAATTCTGAATTTTTTTAATATATAATTATTTTTGTACATTATATACAAGTATGACCAAATATTTGACCAATTTCCGACCGATTTCGGTCGAAAATTTAGAAAAGTTTTAATAAATAATTATTTTTGTACAGTATATACAAGTATGACCAAATATTTGACCAATTTCCAACCGAAATCGGTCGGAATTTTTATTTTTTTGCTGTCAGAAAATTTTCTTTGACTTTTGCGACCAAATACTCTTATTTCCGACCAATTTCGGTCGGTTTTTTTCCGACCGATTTCGGTTGGAAAGCCTTGGACGGAAATCACCCGATTTCTAGTAGTGAAAAATACCGCCAAAATATAAATGATCGCATTTTGGTCGATTTTTTGTCATTACCGACCAACGTTAGTCGGTTTTTACCGGATTTCTAGTAGTGATATATTACAGAAGGAGGGCAGAAACATAATCGCGGGAGAATATTCATTATTATACGCTACGGCTTTTAAATTTAAACTCTTGAGAGAACATGGTTTTGATATTTCTCAAGGTATTACGTACTGTTCATCGGTGAATGTTTTGGGGTCCTCTTTTATGCTCTTATATTCAATAGTCTCAAATTTTGTGCTATTTTATAAAAAGATGAAACATTTGGGGGAAGTCGACCTTGTATACGTTGGAATGTTGGCAATGCGACATACACATACATACATGTGATCCTATTAATGGCTAGCTTTAATTGCACTAAGCACCCCCCTATTATATGATTCAATTCTAGATAGACCCCTTTAAAAGCAAATACTTACCGCCTTATACTATAAAAAGCCTACGCTTACACCCCCAATGAGGTATATTCATAATTGAGTATGTTACAATATAATTGTTAAAAGTAAATCAAATTTTAAATAAAAAGTTTTTGCTTATCTATTTTAATGAAATTTTAAAAAGAAGATGAACGTATTTTGTTGAAATGTTTTGATCACGTCTTTGATTAAAAAAGAGAACAAGTTTTTTTTTGAAATATGTATCTTTCGAAACTCATTAATAAGAAAATACCATAATTACTTAATAAGATATATGAAAAATTAGTAATAACTTTCATGCACTTTAAACATGTAGTTATTTGTATTTTCATTTAATTATTATATTTTATCATTATATTTCTTATTTTAATTTTAGTTTATTTATTTATTCTTCCGCTTCAAAATTATCTTTCAAATTTTCTTAGTTAGTTGAATTTTCATCTTTATAGAATTTTCATTAATAAGAGGTTTAATATTTTTTAGAAAATATGAATAACATCATTATATATATTTAAGAGTTCCGAAAGATAATATTTTTCCAAATACATAAAAGGCATTAATAAGATTTTTTAACATAAATATTAATTCTTTTTCTCAAACTTTAAAAAAATCAATATATAAGAACCTTTTATTTACAAGTTTAATTTGTCTTTAAGTAATTATATTTAAATATACTTAGTAAAAGATTATACTTCATAAGAGGTGCAAGTGTAGGATTTTCATAGTATAAAGGGTGTAAGTATTTCATAAAATATAGGGAGTGTATCCGAAACAAAATCATACTATAAAGGTGTTTCGTATAATTACCCAAAATTAAGTTATTATAGTATTAGTTACACAATTTAAGAGTTACCAATGTAAGAAAAGAAGAACTAAATCATGACCGATAGAGTTATCAATGTTTTGAAAAGAATATACAGTCACCTTTATATAACAATCTCTATATAATAATATTTTAATATAAAATCAAAATCTTTTTGGCACCAAATTTTTATATTATATTCTATCTCTTACTAAAACAGTATTTTACCAATTATTACCAACAATAACCATTTTTATTGCAGTAGAATTATCTCTCTGTATATAATTAATAATCATCTTTATAGATATATAGCATCTATGATTACCAATAATCGGTCTCTATGACAAAATATTATGTGAATATATATTTTCATATTATAGGTTTTATTCCATGAAAGATCTGCACATATATTTAGATTTTTTTCTCTTGTTTAGATATATTGAACAGTTACAAGATGGATGATAATTTCAAAGAAACTCATGATAAAGACACAAAAAGATTGTTGCAATTGTACGAACCTTCGTTTTTCTCTACAGTAACAGAAAATACTTTGAAACTCGCCACAAGAGTCACAAAGTTGGAGTTAAGAATTATCTTGAAAATTATGAACACAGTGAGGAGAATGTAACAGCAACTTTAGTCCGCCATGCATTGGAACTTCCTTCGCATTGGATGATGTTTAGATTAGAGACAAGATGGTACATTAACGTTTATGAGAAAATGCCAAACGCTAATCCTCTTTTGCTCGAGCTTGCCAAGTTGGACTTCAACATTGTTCAAGCAACACATCAAGAAGATTTAAGAGATGTATCAAGGTGTGACGACATCTCTCTCCATATATATATATATATCATTAATACATAGGTTTAACAAATATCTGAAGATTAAATAATTAGGAGAAACTAAAGAAGTATTTCTACTTAATTATTTAGAACATGTTTTTGATAATTTCTCATGTAGCATTGATGAGTAATTAATTATATTTAAAGGTGGTGGAAGAACACATGCCTAGCAGAGAAGTTGCCATTTTCAAGAGACAGATTGGCGGAATGTTTCTTTTGGACAACAGGGAAAGTATTTGAGCCTCAACAAGGACACTGCCGAATAATGCTCACTAAGATCAATGCTTTTGTTACAACCATTGATGATATTTATGGGACTTATCAAGAGTTACAACTCTTTACTAATGCTGTAGAAAGGTAATTTTATGAGAGCAACTACATCTCTAACTTCATTTATCTTTGCTTTACAGTTAACACAAACCATCACTACTAAAAATCTGCTAAAAACCGACCAACAATTTCCGACCAACATTGGTCGGTCAAAAAATGCGACCAAAAACCGTCCGGGTTGGACGGAAACTGGGGAAAAAAATATTTATATTTTTTAAAACTAAATACCGACCAACATTGGTCGGTAAATTGGTCAATGAATTGACCAAGCTGGTCAGACAAGAAAATTTTGGATTACCGACCAACGTTGGTCGGTAATCTGGATCCAATTTTTTAAATTTTAATAATTATTTTATTATTTAAAATATTTTATAATATTTAAGAATTTATATTTAAAATTACCGACCAACGTTGGTCGGTTAATGTAGGGGAAGCATTTACCGACCAACTTTGGTCGGTAATTTTTATTTTCTGCAAAATAACCGACCAAAGTTGGTCGGTTATTACGTCAACAATATTGATCAAACTTTCGAATTACTTTTATATTTACTATCTAAATAATATAAATGTAATTCGCTAA